TGAGAATGAACCATGGAGGTTCGAAACGTCGTGCAAATTATACAAATAAGTGTAATACACTCTAGTAAATCACTTCTTTTCTTCACCTTAAAAGTACGAAAATGAGTTTTGGAGAACTCCTATTCCAATTAAGCCCTGATGCTAAGAAAATAGTTAGAGGGATAGAAGCCCTAAACCAGAAAATAATAAATACAGAATATGCGGTCATATTCAATGAAACATGTTTGAAAGAAAACCTGCTGCCAGTATACACCAATATATATATATATATATATATATATATATATATATATATATATATATATATATATATATATATATATATATATATATATATATATATATATATATATATGTCGTACCTAGTAGCCAGAACTCACTTCTCAGCCTACTATTCAAGGCCCGATTTGCCTAATAGGCCAAGTTTTCATGAATTAATGTTTTTTTCGTCTACCTAACCTAACCTAACCTAGCTTTTTTGGCTACCTAACCTAACCTTACCGATAAATATAGGTTAGGTTAGGTTAGGTAGGGTTGGTTAGGTTCGGTCATATATCTACGTTAATTTTAACTCCAATAAAAAAAAAATGACCTCATACATAGAGAAAAGGGTTGCTTTATCATTTCATAAGAAAAAAAATATAGTAAATATATTAATTCAGGAAAACTTGGCTTATTAGGCAAATCGGGCCTTGAATAGTAGGCTGAGAAGTGAGTTCTGGCTACTAGGTACGACATATATATATATATATATATATATATATATATATATATATATATATATATATATATATATATATATATATATATATATATATATATATATATATATATATGTCGTACCTAGTAGCCAGAACGCACTTCTCAGCCTACTATGCAAGGCCCGATTTGCCTAATAAGCCAAGTTTTCATGAATTAATTGTTTTTCGGCTACCTAACCTACCTAACCTAACCTAACCTAACTTTTTCGGCTACCTAACCTAACCTAACCTATAAAGATAGGTTAGGTTAGGTAGGGTTGGTTAGGTTCGGTCATATATCTTTGTTAATTTTAACTCCAATAAATAAAATTTGACCTCATACATAATGAAATGGGTAGCTTTATCCTTTCATAAGAAAAAAATTATAGAAAATATATTAATTCAGGAAAACTTGGCTTATTACGCAAATCGGGCCTTGCATAGTAGGCTGAGAAGTGCGTTCTGGCTAACATGAACACCAACATTCATCACAGGCTTACCGGACTTAGGAGGAGTTGGTTTGGGTTTTGGCGATTCAGTGGTTCCTTTGTATTGAGACTTACCACATTTATCTATGGTATGTCCATAGAGTCTACAATACTTACAGTATAATTGCAAGCCAGCTTGATCGGTACTCACTTTCTCGTAACTGTACCACGACTTCTTACTGGATGATGGTTCTGGTGTCAGCCGGTGGATGAGGCTGTAAGTGTCAGCCGACTTAGCACACTTTAGGTAGTCGGTTTCTTCTTTATCTGCTAAATATAGACGGACAGGAGGCGGCACACGCCTCAAGAATTCTTCAACTAGCATGAGGTTGACGAGTTCCGCAAAGGTAGAGACATGTGCTGCTTCCAGCCATTTCATAAAATATCTCCTTTTGGTATTAGCAAACTCGAGAAAGGTGGTGGTACTTGCCTTCAGGTGGTCACGGAATTTCCTTCGATAACTTTCGGTGGAGAGAAGGTAGGCGTCCAACACTGCTTGTTTCAGAGTCTGGTAGTCATTCTCAGACGCCAATGTACTGAGTGTAACTGCAGCTCTACCTGTGAGATGTACTCTGAGAAGGGTTGCCCATTGGTCGGCAGGCCAACTAAGTTGATTAGCAAGGGTTTCAAAGGTGGTGAAAACACATCAACTTCTGTCTCTACGAATGGTGGCATTAACTTACTTGCATGTGATATATTGAAACTGATGGGAAGATTGGCGGTAGCTTGCTGGCGTTGAGCGAGGTGTGAAGTTTCCAACGCGAATTCTTGTTTACGACATTCCATAGTCAGGGTTGCTTGTTGTCTGTCGTGTTCGTGTTGAATCTCCAATTGGCGTTGTTTTGTTTCAAGCTGTACTCGTTCCCGCTCACGAAGTATTGCAACCTCATGTTCTTGTTCTTCTTTCCTCAAGGTAGTTTCACGTTCCTTGAGGGCGATTTCACGTTCCTTGAGGGCGATTTCACGTTCTTGTTCTTCCTTTTGTATGGCAGCTGCTTCCCTTTGTTGTTCGAGGGCTTCCCTTTGCTGCTCGCGTTCGATCTTGGCCAGCTCTAGTCTGAGTTTCATCGTTGCCAAATCAGTTTTATCTGCAATAAAGTAAGTTTCGTGAGTTTCAGAGTCTATCTTACCTTTCTCTAAGAAATGATTCAGTAACAGGTTATGTATTTCACTTTTGTTGGCTTGGTGGGGAACTGTTAGTTGATACTTTTTTTTTTTTTTTTTTTTTTTTTTTTTTTTTTTTTGAGATATATACAAGAGTTGTTACATTCTTGTACAGCCACTAGTACGCGTAGGGTTTCGGGCAAGTCCTTAATCCTATGGTCCCTGGAATACGATCCCCTGCCGCGAAGAATCGTTTTTTCATCCAAGTACACATTTTACTGTTGCGTTAAACAGAGGCTACAGTTAAGGAATTGCGCCCAGTAAATCCTCCCCGGCCAGGATACGAACCCATGACATAGCGCTCGCGGAACGCCAGGCGAGTGTCTTACCACTACACCACGGAGACTGCTAAATACTCATGTGCAAGAGTTTGTAATTCAGTCCTCTTGGCATGACTTAAAGTCCCTATTGCACCTGCTGGATCTGCACGGAAAGCTTGGAGACGAAACATTGTGAAATTAGCAAATAAATGCACAACGAATATACTGTTGTGATATGGTGAATGTCAGAAACAGGACAACGTGGCAACTGGTACCTATCCTGTGGAATCTTTAACAATTAAAGTTAATTACAAGATGTTAAATGATTAATTAAATCAAGGTCGCAGGAAATCTTGTACCCGGTACTCATGTAAGAGGATAAGGGCAAGAAAATCCTACTAAACAAGCGAAACTGAGTTTCTAAAACAAATGAAACAGTTAATTGCCTCAAAAGTAAAATTGGTAGTCCAAGAATGTAGGCATACCTTGCCGAGTCTCTATAGGACATAAGCAAGTTTTCCCACTGAAATTAATATGATACTTACAGAATTAGCGAACTTTTGTGCTCTGAAAAAGAAAGCTAATTCCCTACCAATGTAGGTACCATCATCTCTGACCGACATGTAGGGGTGCGAGGTGTCAACTGGTGACGAGAACTGCTGCTGAGGTCCCAATTCAGCAACTAAAGTTCGTGCTAGAGGAACTATGGCCCTCTTTATCCTCCTACTGTCAGATTGCAGAAGATTAGGTGCACTTGACCCGGGGACAGACCACAGTACCAGGGTACCAATTTGATGATCTGCCGAAAATATGAGAAATATCCCAGGGACAAAAGATGGTAAACACGAGTAATAACACGGAGGGAGAGATGACCAATTAAGAGTATGACTGAGGCCTACAGTCACCACGTAATCCAAAGTTGTCTCACCTTCACCATATGCTACTCTCGGAATGCACAATACACACAGCACCAAATAACAATAAAATTGAATATGAAAATTAGAAAAAAGCTACGTTACCAAAGCCAAATACGCTTATCATAAATTACTACTTGGCACCAGTACCTGAGTGAAGCTCCTAGGGCAGGCCCCCACTTTAAAGTGACGGTAAAGCGTTGGTGTTCGGCTGTTTCAAAAGCTAGGGGCAGGGCCTCGTCACATTATAGAAAAAAGGAGAAAAGCTGGAGCTTTCGTCTGTGGTAAGGTAATGGGAAGACACACAAAACACAAGTAAATTAACAATGAAATTTTAATTACTTTAGAAAAACAAGACATGAATAAAGTTAAGCACATAAAATATAAAATACAAGTCAACAAACAAAATAATATGAATAATCACTGGCAAATGAAAAGTTACGTTAAGACAAGTGAGTTACAGTGATAGCAAAATAAATATGAATGGAGCTGGAATATTGGCTTCGAGCTGCCACCTCCCTTAGTACACGAAAGCCAAGGCTTAGTCTACCAGCGAGAGATGTCAACTGCAAGGAGCACTGAGATATTCTGACAATACTGAAGCACTGCAGCCCAGACATCAACTTGTGGCGGAGGGCGGAGGGCAGGTGCGACGGGACACCAGCCAATCAGCGACAGGCAGGCAAAGGACAAGTAGTTTGCTGTTTACGGTGGCGGTAGCTAGCAGGTGTCACTGTGTGCTGGGTACGATTTGCTCTCTGGGCAAAACGTTTGGCGATACTTGCTGGACGTATCTTCTATATTATCTTCTGTTTTTACGTACTTTGTAGGGAAGAGCAGGCTCAATCTCTCTTGAAAGAGATTATCGTCACAATATATATATATATATATATATATATATATATATATATATATATATATATATATATATATATATATATATATATATATATATATATATATATATATATATATATATATATATATATATATATATATATATATATGGTGTCTCCTATGTCTCGTCTCCACACAACCTACCCTCTTCCTGCCGCTTCTTCCTCCACTTTTACAAGTCTTTTGATGCACTGGTGTAGTGCCTAGTCTTCTCTGCTCACTCCATTATTCTCACACGCATTCAATTATTTTTTTAATTTATTTATCTCCATATGTCTTCATTTAATAGCTATAGACTTATCAAGGCGTGTGCAACACTTCAAATTACCAAATGAAACTTCTCCTCCATGCGTGGTGCCATCTTTTGATAATTACTTCTCATCTGCAAATAATTGTCACACACAAAAAGACTAAAAATGTATTTGTATGTATTCCTGTTTTTAGTAATGAGCTTGGATGATAGGATGGTTCTCTATATTATTTATTTTTCACTTCTAATTTTCATTCGCATTTTGTAACCTCACTTCCATTCTACAGCGCAACCGTCACGAATCTGAATGTCCCGCCTGCCCTGATGAGTTGGGTTGTCTCCGTTCGAGGCGTTGTGGAGCCCCACGCTGCTGGGGACCCAAAGACTGCCAGGCCTGTGAGTACCTCTGCTCTCTTCTAGACTCCGTGAGTACCTATGCTCTCTGCTAGACTCCATGAGTACTTCTGCTCTCTGCTAGACTCCGTGAGAACCTCTGCTCTCTGCTAGACTCTGTGAGTACCTCTGCTCTCTGCTAGTCTCCATGAGTATGAGTTCCTCTGTTCTCTCCTAGGCCCCCCCTCTCTGTCTCTCTCTCTCCTGTACTCTTATAATATCTAATGTGTAATGGGGTGGTGGCAGCTGATGTTTTTCATTTGAGTTGAAGTTAAGAATTTCCTTGAACGTACCATTGGTTCTGTGTGAACATAGTAGTACCAGGTTACACTCAACTTTAAATATTCTTTAGACTGTTTAGACTGTTTATTCTTTAGACTTTTTGATGTGTAGTGCCTCGCAGATGTCGAGCCTCCTGCTATCGTTGTATCTATCGATGATTTCTGTGTTATTTGTTAAGATTTCTCTGGTGATGGTCTGGTTGTGAGAAGAGATTATATGTTCCTTGATGGAGCCCTGTTGTTTATGCATTCTTAATCGCCTGGAAAGAGACGTTGTTGTCTTGCCTATATACTGAGTTCTTTGGGGCTTACAGTCCCCAAGTGGGCATTTGAGGGCATTGACGACGTTGGTTTCCTTCAAGGCGTTATTCTTGGTGATAAGAAAGAGAGAAGAAAATAAAGAGTACTCAGAGAAGACCTTGTGGACCATCACTGAACACTTTGACTATTTCTTCTCCTACCACCCCTATTCTTTTTGTATGTGTGCATATATATCTAACTTTATTTTGAAATTTCATTACACAAAAAGGCTTACAATATTGGTTACATGCAGGATACAACGCTACTTGTCACAAGTTGTAGAGCTTCTCCAGGTCCTCAGATGGCGGGCAGGAACCATGGATGCAGTGAGCATTTCCTCTTTGTATCGCCACACTAAGACGCTGAAAGAGAAAACTGGCGGCTCTAGGGTTTTCAGTCGTTTCAATTAGCTTGGACTCCAGCTCCTTCAAAAACCTAGCAGCACTTTTACCCCAGGCACCAAGTGTCTCTGAGTCATTGAAGACAAAATTGTAGTGGTGCTCAAGGTCTCTGTATTTACGTGACTTGGCAGCTTCCTGGTGATAAGCAGCCCCTTCTGCCTGTGAAGTCACCGAAGTCAACATAGGTGTTGGCTAAAGTTGAAACGCAAGTGTAGTCCCACACCAACTGTCTACCATTCTTCCAGGGGGTTCACTGTGATCCTGTCTGGGCGACCGACAGGCTCATCATCGTTGCGGGGCATTAGGTAACGGGGCTCTCTCTCTGCTGGACAGCCGGCTGTGGTAAGGCTTCTCCTAATAATATTCGTTAACCTCGCCGTGTCTTACATCTCTGTCTCATGGCGTTTCACTGTCCTTTGGCAGAGAAGACCATGCCGTCCGTACCTGTCGGAATTGCCTCGCCGCAAATACACCTGTATTCGGTGTGGATTGGGGCAGCGAGGTTGAGAGCCACAGCAATTCGGAGGGCCTGCGGTAGAGATACCCATTTGGTGGTGCAGTCTGTAAAGCTAAGATCATGTAACCCTGCCTGATGACCTAGGTACTCAGGTAGGATTTCCTTCATCAGGTTGTCAGATGTTACCGAAGAGGAGGGGTTCCGGCGGTGCCCGTAGCAGTTTGTCTAGCCCCACCCCATTCCTCTCCTCTCCACTCCCCACATCCTCCCAATCTCCAATCCTCCCAATCCTCCCAAGCTGCATTATAAGTCAAGTGTTACCTGACTTTGAGCCAATGTCGTGCTAGGCTCTGGCCAGCTCAATGCCTCGAAACCAGACCTGTCTCTAGGCTCTGCACTTCTGGCCTCAGTCTGTATCATACCGAACACATTTGCAACACACAAAGGTAGGACTTACCGATGAGATATCTTCCTCACTCTCACCCATCCTAATTGACACATCATCAAGTTGCCCTTTCTGTCAATTGCAGACCGGTTTGATGGACCGTCTGCGTTTCCGAGGCTGAGATCTCTACTTCTGTCTGATCCCTCACCTCACTGAGCACGGGGGTCACTAACCTACTCTTCTAGCTTATGTGACCGGTTTAACCAATTAGCACCTACATTATCGGCCCCCCTTGATGTACTCGACTCTGAACTTAAACTGTTGTAAGAACATTGGCTACCACATAATCCGAGGATTAGCTTTCTTCAACGTACCCAAGTGGCTAAGGGGCTGATGATCCACCTGGAAGGTGAAGCTCCTCCCATGCACATACTGAGAGAAGTTTTTAATGCCCACCACGGCAGCCAATAGTTCTCGCTCGACCGTCGAGTATCGACGTTCTACGTCACTCAACTCACGACTGTAGTAAGTGACTGGCCAAACCATGCCTTCATGCTCCTGCAGGAGTACAGCTCCTACTCTTGTGTTTGAAGCATCAGTCCTGTGGATATATTCCTTACCCTCGTCTGGTAGCCTTAAGATAGGCTGCTCGACCATCTTTTTCATGCAGAAGAAAGCAGCTCCCTCCATTCCCATCCAGTTGTCCTTACTTGGGACAACCTTCTTTGTCAACTCCGTCAATGGATAAGATACAGAGGCGAAGTCTGGGATAAACTTCCTGTAGTAACCCACAAGACTGAGGAATGATCTCACTTGCGTCTTAGTGGTGGGCGGTACAGCATCTCTTCTGTATCTTATCAGGCAGGGGCTTGGCATCCTCCTCCCCCCCAACCCATAATATATGCCCCAGGTACCTGACCTCAGCGCATCCCACCTCATACTTGGTGGGTTTGTCAATGCCAACTCTTTGCAAACGCGAGAACACCTGTCTCGCCAGTTGTAGATGTTCCTTCCAAGTGGTAGAGTGGATGAGCACGTCACCCACAAATATTTCCAGTCCTTTGATACCCACCAGGACTGTCCTCATAGTATTATTGAAAACTGCTGGGGCATTCACCAGCCCAATGGGAAGAACAGTGAACTGGAGGCGATGAGTCACAATAACGTGGCTGAAGAATGTTGACCAGACCGCACACTAGAAAGTGAAGGGACGACGACGTTTTGGTCCGTCCAGGACCATTCTCAAGTCATCGACTTGGAAATGATCCAGGACGGACCGAAACGTCGTCGTCCCTTCACTATCTAGTGTGTGGTCTGGTCAACAGTGAACTGGTATAAACCTTCACTGATCATGAATGCTGTGCGCCTCTTGCTGTCTTGATGCAGTGGGATCTGCAAGAATCCCTTTGTCAGGTCCAGTTTCGAGAAATAATTACTTGGCGCCAGCCGAGCGAAAATCTCGTCTGGGTTGAACATCGGCTCTGTGAGGGTATGGGTTTTCACCAGCTAAATCTTCTACTAGAGTGTGGAGTGTACGAGCGCTCCCGTGCACCCAGGTATGCAAGTGGACGTGCACTTAGTATAGATTTGGTAATCCGTACATGAGAAGACATCACGTGCTTAGGCTCGTTGGAGAGCTTAGGCCGTCAGCATTCCAATTATGTTGCAATGGCCGTTGCAACGCATTTGTGGAAACCATTAGAGAGAGTAACAGTTTATACTGTAAAAGTGAGGGAGACGAGCGAAACGAGAGGGAGCCGTGAGGTGGCGGCCACGCAGAGCCGTCCCCATAGCAACCAAGACAGTCGACGTGTGACGTCACCAGCGTGCCACACCAGGTCTGTGATTGGATAAGGGTCTTAGACCCTAGGTGCGAAGCACTCTGATTGGTTAGTTTGAGGAGGGACCATTAGGCCAGCATCTTCCTGTTCTGGCCCCAAGACGCCATTCTGCACCCACCCATACTATTGCCTGTGTTGGACGAAATATTTTCTTAGTCGGCCAGATAAGTAAAGATACGGTCGGCAGTAGCATTTAGTACACTTTATATTCCCGCGATAACGACGTGTGTCAGTAGGGAACGAGCAGAATCTGGGTACTTGTCGTAGTTGCCTGTATTACAGGAAAGTGTATATGACTGGAAAAAGTAACAGTGGGTAAGCCACACGAGCAGGTAGCAACAGACTGTTTCGTGAATCCCCATCTACAGTCATCATCAGACTTCATCTGATCTCCTCCTCAAGTCACACAACAGTGGAGAGATCTGGGAATAACTTGCCAGTGTTTAGGGCAGTTTTTCCCAATAGAAATTCTTGGGAATTTCGGTGGATATTGTCGTTCGCCGTGTTTGCTGCTATCACCTTCTGTGGTTGAGTGTTCAATAAACCCCTGAACTATATGTTTAACACATCTCTAACCCTGTCCATGGAGGACAGAAGAAAGTGTATATATGCTGGTTAGCATTGTAAATGTGTGGCCACGTCTGTGGTAGAAAAAAAAAATTGTGCATGCACGTCACTTCGCCCTGAGGGACGGACGAAGCCAGAAAGTGAGGGGGAGTACTAGGGGTACTGAGCCGTGTTGTACTCCACTCAGGCTACTCATAGCCAGCTGCACCACCTTGGGAAGTTGCCGCTGATCTTCGAGATTACAGTTGCCTCAGTCCTCATCTTCAGGTTAACTTGAGATGATTTCGGGGCTTAGCGTCCCCGCGGCCCGGTCCTCGACCAGGCCTTCTTTTTGTTACATACCCCGAGGAAGCAACCCGTAGCAGCTGCCTAACTCCCAGGTACCTATTTACTGCTAGGTAACAGGGGCATCAGGGTAAAAGAAACATTTTGCCCATTACTCTCCGCGTCCACCGGAGATCGAACCCGGCACCTCAGGAATACGAATCCGAAGCGCTGTCCACCCAGCTGTCAGGCGCCTGGTTACATGGGGAAGTGTGTCTGTAGGCTGGCCTGTATAATTGAGTGAGTACCACTTGTGTGTATTGGTGATTATTATCTCTAACCCTGATTCGCGTCAGGGGGTCTGCCAGTATTGTCCTTCTACCACCTGATAGGTGAACAGCAAGTGCATAGAGTGTGAGATTTCATTTATTTAACATCTTGTCAGTCTAAGAAGGGCTTGAACTGAGTGTATGTGTGAAGACGAGTGTGTGTTTAGTCACACAGGAA